AAAAAAAAAAAAAAAAAAAGGAAAAGGAAAAGAAAAAACAAAAAACCCAAAAAACTCCAAGTACGTATAATTTACCCATTTAACCCAGTTCAGCAGTGTTTTGCATATTCAGAGATTTGTGCAACCGTCGCTATCTAATTCCTTAACATTTTTATCACCCCAAAAAGAAACCTTGTATCCATTAGCAGTCACTCCTCATTTACTTCCCCCTACCTCATCCCTGGCAGCCATGAAGCTACTTTCTTTGCAAACCAGAAAATGTTATTTTGGCAGCTACTCAGCCCAAAGAATAGTAGATTCCACCAATTTGTATGACCATCTTTCTTTCTTCCCCCAACTTTGTTTTTATATATGTAGTCTAAGAATATCATACATGCTCTTAGCAGAAATTCAGACAGTACAGAAGGGTCCCATCCCCTGTTCTTTACATGCCACTGTTATTTCCAATGTCAGAACGGTGCTACTTAAGCGGGTATCTACCTTTTTATTTCATGCAAATGACAATGTGATATATACAGTTCTTCACTGTGCTTTTCTCACTTGCTGTATATTAACAACAATTCCATAGCTGTGTTGTACAGCTGTGCAGTTTCCCTTGTGTGCATGTACCACAGCTCCTGTGACCAGTCAGGCCTCCTCTTACCCATTTGTAGGTGCCGTTGTTTGCACTCTTAAATGCAGCTCTGAAGCAATTTCATTGCTTTGACATTTTGTACATGTGTGCAAATCGGATATATTCCTAGAATTGGAATTGCCCAGTCAAAAGGGCAATTTTGGTTGCCCATCAAACCAAAAACAGTCAAATGAGCTGTTTTTGGTTTGATGGGCAGTACCAAAATATGGTCTTTCCCCAAAAATACACCAGTTGACATTCCATCAGGTATGGATGCCAGTGACTTTGTACACAGCGTTGCTCACACAGTGGATTATCAGGCAGTTTTACTTTCAGATCAGGTAGGTGATCTATGGTATGCTCTTCCTGGGAACACGGGTTGCTGTGGGTGAGGGGAGCACCCTCACCAGCGCTTGTTGATTTGCCATGAGAGGGGTCTTCACATCATTTTGCCTATTGTGCTCTTGGCTGGGACCTTTCTTATGGATTGTCAACAATAGATAGCATAGACAATAGATCACAGCTCTTTCTCATGCATGTTGCAAAGATTTCTTCCAAGTTTTTTCATTTCTTCTCCTTTTTAATATTTTTATTCTCTGCAGGACTTTAAAAACCTTCATTATGTAGTCATATTTATTTTTTCTTCACATTATGGCTTCCGGGTTTATGTAGGAGTCACCCTTCTCTTAAAAGGTATCTTCTCCTATGATTTTGTATATTTTTTCTTTTCAAATGTTCCAAGATTTCTTCCATCTGAAATTTATTTTGGAATAAAGAATGAAATAAGAATCCAGCTCCTCCCCCCACCCCACTATCTAGTTGTTCCAAAACTATTTATTAAATAATCCATCTCTATTGATTTGAAATGGCATCTTTTATCATATACAGAGTTCCCCATTTCAAATAGTTAGCTATGTGCCAACTGTTACTTTTTAAAAATGCAGAGTAAACAGAGGAAATGGCTGGGGTTGAGATGCTGTTTTGTTCAGAACTCCTTTCAAGCACTCTGCACTCAACCACCCAGCTCCCTCTGCCAGGAATAAGCTGTTTAGGGCCGTACATTTCAGAATTTTTGTCACCTCCTTTCTCTTTCCCAAGTGCTTCTGCTACACATCACTGTCACCCTCATATTCTATCCCCCAAATGACAGTCTCCTCAGAACAGCCTTGCAGGTGATACATGACGCCTGCAGTTGACGTTATCTGTGGCTTCTTTGCTTGATGCAAGAAGTCGTATTTAGCAAAAGAAAAGACTGTAAATTTCTGTCTGACCAATTGGAGCTTGTTGCTTTAGAAAAAGCTTTGAAGCTTGACTCGCTCCAGGTTAAACTTAATATCTCCACAGGAGGTCACTCTTGGGTAGGCTTTGTAGCTTGGTTGGGCGGACCACGGAAAAAAATTAAACGTAAGAAACCTACCTACCACAGCTGAGATAGCTGAACGTCAACCTAAAAGTGGTATGGGAAGCAGGTAAAACTAGGTAACTCAGGTTTAACTTTTTTTCTGATTATATAATTTTTGGAGATGCTCTATAGGAAATTTGAAAAATAGAAAGAAGAAAATCTTAACTACTTTATATCTCTACCAGTGATGCCACTATGAATAATTTGGTAACTATTTATCTGTCTCTCCTGGGGGAACCTGAATGCACATGTACACACAGAGAAGAGATTGTAAATGTGTGCCCAGAAGAAATCCAAGAAATCTATTCTACCTTTTTCTGCCTAAGATTTCAGTGTGGTATGTTGTGTCAACATCATTTATTAGGAGTATATATTACGTCTCCATGATATACAAGGAAAATAAGAGTTACCTGTAGCTTTTTCAGGAAATCATAATATTCTAACAACCCAGGAAGCTACTTGCAGGAGTATTTTCCTTATCTTCTTCCTACGTTACCATTGGATACCTTTAAGTGGCTACGGCTCCCCACTCAAGTGAGATGTCCATGTCCCCTGCTGCCTAGAGCCACAGAGCTCTCCTTCTTTCCCTGTCCGACTTCCATGCCTACCCTGCTGTCTGCTTGTGAGCAGGCTTATGAGAACAGGCGCCACCTGGCAGAGAGATACAAACAGGTTCTGCTTCAACTTCTCAGGCACAGAACTTCAGCCACAAAGGGCGGTGCTTCCCAGTGCTGGGCTGTGGATTGGTAACCTGCCCTGCGCAAATCTCCCTCTACCAAATAAGCAGACGGAAATGTATGTGGACATTTTGTGCAAGGTGTTCGTGTGTCTTGGGAAAATCTGTCTCATGTTCCCAGAAAGTAGCTTAATAGCTTTCCTTACTTGGAGTCTAAGTGGCTTTTATGACATTGGCATGTAGATAGTAGACCTGTATGTGGGTTTTTGTTGTTATTATTATTATTTTTTTTGAAGACAGTCTTACTCAGTCGCAGACTGGAGTGCAGTGGCGCAATCTTGGCTTCCTGCATCCTCCGCCTCCTGGGATCAAGCGATTCTCCTACCTCAGCCTCACAAGTAGCTGTGATTACAGGCACCCACCATCACGCCTGGCTACTTTTTGTATTTTTTAGAGACGGGGTTTCACCATGTTGGCCAGGCTGGTCTTGAACTCCTGACCTCAGTTAATCCGCCTGCCTCGGCCTCCTGAAGTCTGGGATTACAGGCGTGAGCCACCATGCCCAGCTGAACGCTATGTGTTTTAAGGTGATTATGGAGCAAAATTTTTGTCAGCCTTCAAATTAATTTTTTTTCTCTATTAAATTTTTAGGTAAGGAAATTGTTGCCAGCTAGACAAGTTTACAAAGCGTGTCTTCTGGGGGTCCTGTGGTTTTGGTTGCATGCTTAAGGATGAGTGTGTTAAGAGGAGGAGCAGCATGGACCTCATAGTAATGCTTCCCTTTGCTTCAAGGACATTGATGGCTTATTCTCTTATCTAACAGTCTCTGTGTTTAACTGGAAAGTTTGGTCCCTTTTCTTTCATGATAATTGACATATTTGGATTTATGACTACTACCTTACTATGTGCTTTTTGTTTGTTTGTTTTTGAGACAGAGTCTTGCCCTGTTGCCCAGGCTGGAGTGCAGTGGCACGATCACAGCTCACTGCAGCCCCAATCTCCCAGGCTTAGCCTCCCAAGTAGCTGGAACTACAGGTGCATGCCACCACGCCTGGCTCATTTTTATATTTTTTGTAGAGACGGGGTTTTGCCATGTTGCCCAGGCTGGGCTCTAACTCCTGGGATCAAGCGATCTGCCTGCCTCAGCCTCCCAAACTGCTGGGATTACGGGTGTGAGCCACCATGCCTAGCTACTATATGCTTTAGTTTTTTCTGCTCCACAAAGTACATATTATTGTGGTTTTATGCAATCAGCATTTGTTAGGTTTGTCCACATATTGATCAGTATCCTTGCTCACCTTTCTCTGCCCCTGCCCACCACCATATCTCAATGTTTCTGCGGTCTGTATCTTTCCTTTTGCTTTAGTTGCATTCTTTAGGTGGTTATGTGTTAGAAATAAATTCTCAGGTTGTATAGTTTGGCTGGAACTATCTTTATTTTATCCTCCTTCTGGAAATGGAGTTTCGCTGAGTATCGAGTCCTAGCCTGATAGTTATTTTCTCATATCACATTGAAGAGATGACTCCATAACTTCTGGCTTCCATTGGGGAAGTTGAGGACTTGGCCATCCTTTCTAGGTGACTTGTCTTTATTCTTTGTCTCTTTTAAGCTTTCTTGGTCTTCTATAGTTCTGTTAAGATTGTTTGGGAAATCATTTGTTGCGTTTATTGGATCGGAGGATTGGTGCTTTCCAATAGTTCTGGAAAATTCTTAGTCATTTTCTCTTTGAATATTTCTTTTCCTGGTTCTTTGCTCTCTTTTTATAACTGTAACTCTTGTGTGACCTTGTCACGCTGCTGTTCATATCTCTGAGCTTCTTTCTCTATTTTCCATCTCTTCTGTTTCTTGGGCTGCATCTTGGATAATGTCTTCATCTTTATCTTCTAATTTGCTCATTCTGTCTTCAGGTGTTTTCACTCTATTTTCTGAATTTTCCATTTCAAATATAATATTTTTTCATTTCTTGACATTCTTTTCTATTCTTTCCCAAGTCTTGATTGGTCATTCTTTATAATCCTTTTATTCTTTTATTTCATCATCCAAGCTTCTGTTTTATTTGTTTAAAACCTATTATTGCCTTTCTGCTTCTTTTCAGCAAATTCCAGTGTCTCATTTTTTGCTGTGATGATTTAGTTAACGTTTCTGGTGGCTCCCACTTCTGGTGCCTTGTTCTCTTGGGCGTTTTGTGACTTTCTTCTGTGAATTCTTGTACCATTATCATCCTTCCGAGAGGATTTGCATTTGTTATTGCCAGCTCCCTTGGCGGACTACTCCAAAAATCTCTTTAAGCTAAGCTCTTCGCTTGAGGATTTTTATCACATGTATAGTAAAAATTGGGACCAGTAACCCTCAGGAGAGCTGAGATGTGGCTTTGAGCTCTCAAGAGAGAACTAACCCACACCACTCAGCATAGAGTTTGACACCAGTAAGCAGCCTTCCTGTTCCTGCCTAGGCAGCAGGTTCACTTTTCATTCCTCGTGACTCTGAAGGAAGAACTTCTAGCATCCCTGTGCTGTACACGGTCTTCAGCTAGACTCTTCATCTCAGCCAGGCACCCAGCTTGATTTCTTACCCCCCATGTCCTTGTCAGTAAAACAGAAGCTTAAGATCATCAGGCCTCTTCAGAAACCCTCAGAGCAGGCACTCATGCACACCAGCTTCTCAGAATAACCTACTTCTGCATTCTGTGCCTATGAGGATTGCTACTATCTTTCCAGCTTGGTGTTGTGTTTGTGAAGATGATTCCCTTGGGTGACAGTGTGATCCAGCATTGTAGTTGTTTCTTTTAGGAAGGGTGATTGGGCTGCCTGGTCTGCCAGAGCACCAAAGTGTAACTGAAAAATGTTTCCTATATGGAAAACTTATAGACACATTTTCACTTCCAGACAACATTTTTACTTCCAGACAACATTTTTGTTTGGAAGTGGACAAAGTTTGGGCTTCATTTTCGTGTCTGTCTCTTGCTTGAGATAGCAAAGGTCCTTGATAATTCTAATGTAGGCAAAAAGATTAAGGCTTAAAAGAGATTGCTGCATTCTTTAGTCAAATTGCAAAGAGAGTAGCTTGAACCAATTGAAATAGCCAAATAAGTTATACAGGGTCACCATATGACCCAGCAAGTCCACTCTGAGGTATATTTCCCAAAGACTTGAAGGCAGGGACTCAACCAGATACTTATATACCACTGTTCATAGCAGCAATGTTCAGTATAGCCAAAAGGTGGAAGCAACCTGAGTGGCCATCAACAGATGAATGAATGAACACAATGTGCTATATCCACCCAATGGAATGTTATTCAGGCTTAGAGAGGAACGAAGTACTGATCTATGCAGCAACGTGGATGAGCTCTGAACAGTTTCTGCTAAGTGAAAGAAGCCAGACACAAAAGCTCACGTATTTTATGATTCCATTTATACAAAAAGTTTAGAATAGGTAAATCATAGATTCATGCCTGGCAGGGCCTGGGGGGGAGGGGAGGATGGGAAGGGCCTGCTTAAGGGGTGTGGGGTTTCCTTTTGTGTCATGATATGTTCTAGAACTAGATAAAGGTAATAGTTGTGCAATATTGTGAATGTACTTGATGCCATTGAATTGTACACTTTAAAATAGTTCCAAGGATAAATTCTGTGTTATGTATATTTTACCACAATTGAAAAGAAACACTAGCTGTGTTGTGAAAGTCCTCGGAAATGGGAAGGGTAGCCTGGAGCATCTACCCCTGTCCCCAACTGACCTCTCAGGCCCAGAAAGCGGCTTTTTCTCAGAGATGTGCCTCCTCCATCCTTCATCAGAGCACGCAAGGAGCTCCATCCCTGGTCGCCATCTGAGGATGACACAATAAGTAGGACCAGGCCTTTAAAAATAATGTATGGAGATTATGTCCTCCATGTACTGCGTCTTAAGTTGGGCTATGTGTGTGTTGGTTCCCACAGTATTTTGTCAGCTAAATTGCATAATGACTGATATTTTTAAAAACTGGAATAGGAAAATCTTAATGTCACACTATACTTGTGGCATTGTCTTGAAATAAGTTTAACCATTTAAGTCCACTCTTCACAGGAGAATCTAAAATGCCTCAGGCTCACCAACAAGCAAAGCCTGCCCACATTCTCTTCCTGTTGCCAGCTAAGCACCTCCTGAGCCAGTGATTTTTTTAAGAGATGGGATCTTGCTATGTTGTCCAGGCTTGATTCAAACTCAGGCCCAAGCCATCCTTCCACCTCAGACTCCTGAGTAGCTGGGCCTACAGGCATGATGCCATGCCTGGTACCAATGATATCTGAGCATTTGCCTTAGATGAGCAGAGGAACTGGACTCACAGTGTAGAGTCTTAGACCATGAATGCAATGAAGCCCATCCTGACTAGCCTACATATTAGATGGCTGCATTAGCCAGGACTTTTGTCCCCACCATCTGTGCCACAAACTGGGCAACAGTAGTTCCTAAATAACTTGCATTAAGTCATGCCTATGGTTGTTTTAAAATACTACCCACAAATACTGACAAATTGAATATCAAATCCTTATCGAGTAGTTATATGCAGTGGCCAGGGTGCCCTGACATTCGTTCCCAGCCGCCACCATTCCAAGGTCCACCACTAGCACAGTTCTCCCTGTGGATTGCTAAGTGCCTGCCCCAGACCATGCCTTGGCTGCTCAAGAGAGGCCTGATTCCTGCATCATCTTGAGTGTGGTTGCTGGCTACGTTCCTAAAATACAACTTTAAAGAAGAGATCTCTAGTTGACTGTATGAACGTGTTCATTTGTGCCTTTGCCAGGGTCACGTCAATTGCAGACAGGTTGAATGCGGAATTTGCCTTGATCCACAAGGAGAGGAAGAAGGCGAATGAAGTGGACCGGATGGTCCTGGTGGACCACGTGAAGGACCGCGTGGCCATCCTCGTGGATGACATGGCTGACACCTGCGGCACCATCTGCCACGCTGCAGACAAGTATGCAGGGTGGTGGGGAAAGCGTTGACTTCTCACGACGAAAGGGAAAGACATCAGCTTTTAGAAATTTTCCTGATTACTGCTGGTTGTGGCAGTGGAGTCTTAGACCAAAGGAGATTCTAGGCCCATTTATCTTTATACTTCTTTCTCTGGTAGAAAAGAAACCATGGGCCTTTTCATTTCCCAGGATGAGCTTATAATGCACTTGAAAAAGGGTCAAAGAAGGTGCTTCCCTTTGCACTGGGCACGAAAGGAAAGACAGTTTTTCAGGTTTCTTCAGGCCCTTGCTTCCTTCCATTGGCTTTTGCGCCAGGCTTCTTGGCCACATGGGTGTCTGGAGGATTCGTAGCACTGCGGTCCAGTATGGAAGCCCCCACCCAGTCACACATGGCTGTGGAGCTCTTAGAATATGGCCAGTCTGACTTGGGATGTGCTGAGAGTGTAAAAAGGCACTCTAGGTTTTGGAGACTTCATATGAAACAACAAATATAAATATCTCATTTACATAAATGTTTTTATGTTGATTATACATCAAAACAAAGATGTTTTGGCTATATTGGTTTAAAATGGCCGGGCGCGGTGGCTCACGCCTGTAATCCCAGAACTTTGGGAGGCCGAGGCGGGCAGATCACCTGAGATCAGGAGTTGGAGACCAGCCTGACCAACATGAAGAAACCCTGTCTCTACTAAAAAAAAAAAATACAAAATTAGCCAGGCATGGTGGCGCAATGCCTATAGTCCCAGCTACTTGGGAGGCTGAGGCAGGAGACTTTCTTGAACCCAGGAGGTGGAGGTTGTAGTGAGCCGAGATCATGCCATTGCACTCCAGCCTGGGCAACAAGAGGGAAACTGTCTCAAAAAAAAAACCAAAAACCAAAAAACCAAAAACAACTGCTGGTTCTCAACCAGGAGTGATTTTGCTCCCTGGGAGACATGTGGCAATGTCTACAGTCATTTTTTATTGTCACGACTGAGGGGTTGGGCGGTGCTTGTCGGTAGAGGCCAGGGATGCTGTTGAATTTCCCCATGGTACATAGGGCAGCCCCCACGACGAAGAATTATCCGGGCCAAAGTGCAAAGGTCGATAGCTCGCGATTTAATGGAATACAAAGTGTTTTGCTCATGCTTGAGAGATTCTATCTTAGGTTAAAAAATGTGAGTGAAATTTGTTGGATTTTTCTTTTACCAAGCACACTTTTTGCTTTTACCATTCGTACTAGGGGAAAGAATTCCAAGAATATTTGCATACCCTTAATTTTTATCTTTTGCTGTTTTACAGGCTGCTGTCAGCCGGAGCCACCAAAGTTTATGCTATCCTTACCCATGGGATCTTCTCCGGACCAGCTATTTCCAGAATAAATAACGCCGCCTTTGAGGCTGTTGTCGTCACAAACACAATTCCGCAAGAGGACAAAATGAAACACTGCACCAAGATTCAGGTACTGTCTATACTGCAGGCAGTCAAGCAGCCAGGACCCCACTCTAGATCCCTAAAAATAGCATCAAGTCTTCTGTGTGTGTGGCTCCTTGCTAAGGCACAGGCTGGCAGAGGTGGCAGCGTCTCATGACGGCAGGACATAAATCATATTAGATCCCTGAAAAAGGCCAGGGCCAGCAGGGGTCAACGTTCTCTATTTAGAAATAGAGTGAAAAAAATCACAACAGAAAAATGGTCAGAAACGGGCCGTGCTAAAGCTAAACTTAGAATTATCATATGACCCAATGATTCCATACTTAGGTATTTACCCCCAAAATTTGGAAATGTACTCAAACAGAAACTTGTATAGACATGTTCATAGCAGCGCTTTTCACAAAAACCAAAAGGTAGAACCACCCACTGGCCATCAACAGACGAACAAACCGGTGGCCAAAGTGTAGTCTATCGCTATGATGGAATATTATTCAGCCTTTAAAGGGCAAGAAATTCTGACACATATGATTGGGCACGGTGGCTCACGCCTGTAATCCCAGCACTTTGGGAGGCCAAGGTAGGTGAATCACGAGGTCAGGAGTTCGAGACCAGCCTGACCAACATGGTGAAACCCCAACTCTACTAAAAATACAAAAAAATTAGCTAGATGTGGTGGCACACACCTGTAATCCCAGCTCCTCAGGAGGCTGAGGCAGGATAATTGGTTGAACTTGGGAGGTGGAGGTTGCAGTGAGCCGAGATCGCACCACTGCACTCCAGCCTGGGCAACAGAATGAGACTCTGTCTCAAAAAAAAAAAAAGAAAGAAAGAAAGAAATTCTCACACATGCAACAGCATGGATGAACCTTGAAAATATCATGCTAAGTGAAAAAAAACAGATGTGAAAGGAGGAATGTTGTGTTTCTGCTTCTATGAGGTACCTGAGATTGGAAAATTCATAGAGAGAAAGTAGAATGGTAGCTACCAGGAGCTGGAGGGGGAGGGAGGGAAGGGTGGGGAGTTATCTCACATTTAATGACTATACAGTTTTTGTTTGGGATGTTGAAAACAGTTTGGAAATAAGTAATGGTGATAGTTAACACACGTTAAGAATATAATAAATGCCAATAAATTGTATACTTAAAAATAGTTAAAATGGCAAATGTGATATTATATATATATAAATTTTAAACCAATAAAAACAGACGCTATACTTGATGTTAGCAAGATATAGCTAGCTAGCTAGCTAGATAGATACACATTCACACAATTAAAAAAAATGGGGATGGGCATAGCAGGCTGAGCTGAGGATCTTCAGAGCTTTGCTCCTTCCCGTCCCTGCTGATTGGATGCCCACAGGCCAGCAGAAAGCTGCTAATCATTTAGATACCAACTGGCCTGAAATAAGGCAAAAGAGTTGGAGTCCCCATTTTGTCTCTGTGTCGCCTTAAACCTTAGCAAGTCATTTCATTGCTACAAAGCCTCAGCTCCCATCAGCAGAGCATGAGGTGTGTCACAACGATCTGCTTCATAATTTCTCATTCCTTGGAGAGAAAATGCAGTTTGCTTGACAAAAAGCAATAAGTCTGAAAATGGTCAGAACAGCGGTGTTGTATCTTTTCATGCCTAATTAGTAGTAGTTTAGGATGGGAGTTGGCACACTGCGGCTCGCAAGCGAAATCCAGCCTGTCATCTGTTTTTGCAAATTTTTATCGGAGCACAGCCATGCTCATTCATATATGTATTGCCTGTGGCTGCTTTCACGCTACAATGGGGGAACTGAGTATTTGTGACAGAGACCCTCTGGCCTGCAAAGCCAAAAAAATTAACTATTAGGTCCTCTATAATTTGCTGACCCCTGGGATAGATGATCACAGTTGTGCTCTTAAATGATGCAGTCACCGCCTTTTCAGAAACAGAAAGAAAAACCTTCCATACAATGATTAAAATTAATTTAAAACAAGTACCCCTAGGAAAGGATGTCTCTGGTTAACAGTACCCCTGAAAAGCCTTTTGTCTCTGCACTGAAAATCTCCCTTCTAGGATCCCATATGGGTCTGGTTCAACGGCTTGTAATTTGAAGACATGCCCCAAAGCTGTCTGTCCTCTCAAAAGTGTGGGAGGTTTTGATAGCGACACATCATGTATGCTATAGAAATCATTTCTCAGCTTTTCAGTTTTTAAAGAACTCCAATTAAGATGTCCTGCTTCCCTTCTCCCTTTTTCTCATTGGTATTTAGGTCATTGACATTTCCATGATCTTGGCCGAAGCAATCCGAAGGACACACAATCGGGAATCTGTGTCCTACCTGTTCAGCCACGTCCCGCTATAAATCCGGAATGTGAAGTGTCCAGCAAGCCTACTCTGACTTGTTTTTGTTTTCTGGGGTTTTAGCTGTAGGACTCAGCAATGATAGGTTAATCTCTGGCAAAAGCTTCAGATCTTTGTATATGCTAAGATTTATTGTTACCCCTTCTAAAGCTCAAGATCATTTCTTTCCGGTTTTGG